AGAGAGAGAGAGAGAGAGAGAGAGAGAGAGAGAGAGAGAGAGGGAGAGAGGGAGAGAGAGAGAGAGAGAGAGAGAGAGAGAGAGAGAGAGAGAGAGAGAGAGAGAGAGAGAGAGAGAGAGGGGGGGGGGAGAAGAGGATAAAGAAAACATCATATCATCACTGCACCATTTCTTTTGCTTTCTTTGACTCGATCAAAAACTCATTGAAAACGGAGTCCTCAACTTTATTTTCCTCCTACACACACACAGGTACAAAAAAATAAAATCAACATACATGTACATGTAAAACACAATGTACAATGTACATGTAGTCCACATTCCAAAATATAACAAAAAAATCTAAAAAAACCTAAACCTCTTATTCCTAGCTATTATTAAATAAAAAAAACTACTTATAACATTAACAGGTTCTGCCTTCCTGCTTAGTGTTAATGTGCTTTAATTAGAACTCACGCAAAGATGGCCGCCGCACGTAAAGCAGCAGTGATACACGTACTACAGTGTATATGCTATAAACCATCATAGTGCCTAGTGTCCCAGTCAGATACATATAAATTATAATTTCTTCATTTTCTCTCTCACTAATCTATTAGTCTGACTCAACTAGGGACTAGGCTTATATACATTATGCAGCCCTTTTAATATCTCTGTCCTCTCGGGTGGCCGGAACCTATAACTGCAATCAAAATTGTTATGTGTATAGGACCCGGTGTAGAGAGGGAAAGGAGAAAGGGTGGAGAAAATAATAATGATAATAATAATAATAATAATAATGATGATAAATATAGTAATTAAAAGGCTTTATGATGATAATAATGACAATGATAATCATAATAATTAATAAATAAAATTTAATTGTGACAAGAACTGTAACTGTATAGGATAGCTAGTTTTGTATTGGACATACTTTCTTATTCAAGTCAATTTGAGACGATATTTGCTCATTGAGAGCTATGAGGTCTAGGGGGAGAGAGGGGAAGGAGAGAGGGAGGGAGAGAGAGAGAGAGAGAGGGGAAGGAGAGAGGGAGGGAGAGAGAGAGAGAGAGAGAGAGGGAGGGAGAGAAAGGAAGGGAGAGAGAGAGGGGGGAAGAGAGCCACAAGAGAAGTGGAAGCATACAATCCAGAGGACATGACATAACAGTACAAATGAAACACTTACGATTAGGTTTTAAATTCTTTACCATCTGCAGCACGTTACCATAATAAGCATCATACTAAAATAATAATAATAATTAATATTAAAGTTAGTTAGTTAATTAAAGTTAACTAACTGATAGAGAAGCATCGTGGTGAGTCTCTTGAGATCTTATCTTAGCGACAATGTCATTCACTAAAAATTAAAAAATAATAATAATAAATTGCACATGTACATGTATTTATAATGTATTTAAAGGGTCTCACATGAGAAATTAGGAGCGAACCCACTGTCACGTGATAGTTTGGTGCCACAGATTGGGCACTGTTGGGTCTGAGCAATTGACTTGTGTATACACTCATGACTAGAAGAGAGAGAGAGGGGGAAGGAGGGAGAAAGACACAAATAAATAAATAAATATATACACGTATGTCACGTACCAGAAGCTGTGTCCACATACGGTTACCTGCACACTCGTGAAAATATCAAAGCAAACAGGGCTATAATTATAATAACATATTTTTTGGTAAAATTCAAAATGGCTCCTGTACTAAGTTACCATATAACGTCGCTCTTTGACAGTTTCTCTTCTCCCACTTGGTCCCTACGGAGTCTCTTGCGTGACTGATTCATTGATAACAAGGATGCTTCTTTTAGGACTCAGGAAATAATCTCCACTGGGGTTCTGTGAAAGAAGAAATGGCTGTATTGGCTGAATGCACGTTGCACTGTTGACGCACTCAGTAAATTTCCGCTTTGGTTAATGGGCGTGGTCGGTTGATTGAAAATAATAAAAATACGTATTAACCAGTTTCTGAAATTGCAAGTATCACAGCAACTCATCAACAACGCATACATGATGTAAGATTGGATTGAAAATAAAGCAATTCTCTTGACAAATATAACTGATAACATCATAACATGTTTCCTAGATCTTTTGGCTATGCGATATAAAAGATACAAACTCATG